GAGGCTATAAAAAAAAAAAAACCAACAGCCTTATTTTGCAGTTCTGTATCTCTTGTTACAAAGTTTTATTGCCTAAAATAAGTTAATATTTCCCTTTTGGAGATAATGTTATCATATCTAAATTACTTTGCAGTTTTCCAATTAAGTTAATGTCTAAATCGTGCCTCTAATTAGCCAGGGTGATAAACAGACAACATTGATCTCAGACAGTTGGGTTCAAGGTGACAGGCAAAGTCCCCACAGAGGTGGCAGTTTGCCCCTGTGAAATGACCAGTCTCCCTAGAGCTCCTGGAGAGAAAACTGCCCAAACCAAAGGTCCTGAGTTATGCTCTCGGCATTTAAGAGGATCCACTAGTTTTACAAAATCCTCCTGAGCAGCAGAGACTAGTATCATGTTGATTATTGGAGACAGAACAACTAGGAATCCTGGCTCCTGACACAGCTCAGTGAATTCAAAGTCTAATAAGGGAGACGGAAAGGCAAATAATAATGATAAGACAACAATATGCCACACTTAGGAAGTAGAATCAACCAGATTGAAATGCAGACGGTATGACTGGAAGAAAAAAAGAACATCTTCTTATACCCGAGGTGGAAGGTTTCCATTTCCCATCCTGTACTTTCAAGTCCAGTCTATGACACTTGACAAAGATTCAGTTTAAAAAATGACTCCCAGGTTAGAGCCTGGAYTACAACCCCATCATATCTACCTCTTAAATAATTGTTAAGATTAGTCCTCTCTTCCAGCCCATCAACCCCTGTCCTCACTATTTTTAACCTCTTCAGAACAGCCTCCTCATGGGCCTCCCTACCTCCAGTCCCACCCCTTCCAATCCACCTTCCCCACTACCTCCAGGTAACCTGGTTGAGCTTCAAACCTGATCGTGTCATGTGTCACTCTCCTTTGTAAAATTTAAACAGTTGTAGGCACCTAGTAGGTATTCAACAAGTATTTAGTGAATGAATGAAGAAATGCTTGCATGAATGGCCTGCTATATGGTCATTTGGTTTTGCTGTCCTAGGGCTGCCATAGCAAACTACCACAAACAGAGGCTTTAAACAACAGAAATTTATTCTTGGTTCTGGAGAGGCCAGAAGACCAAAGTCAAGGTGCCAGCAGGATTGTGCTCCTGTGGACTCTGGGGGAAGATCCTCACTGCTTCTCTCGCTCTGCTGATCGCCTGCAGTCCTTGGTGTACCTCGGCTCCTAGACACATCACTCTGATCTCTGCCTTTACTTGCCGTGACATCCTTCCCTCAGTATCTCTGTGTCTCTGTGTCCAAATTTCCTATTCCTCTAAGGATGCCAATCATGGGATTGGGGCCCATTCTATTCCAGTGTGACCTTCACCTGATGACATCTGTAAATACCCTGTTTCCAAATAAGGTCATATCCACAGATCTCAGGGAGCAGGACTTCACCAGATCTATTTGAAGGACATTCAGTGGAAAGGGGCTCAGCCTCCACCYTGACAATGTGAAAAACCCATTCATGACCCAGGAAAGAATGAGTGTCCAGTGCTGAGCAGAAGTGCAGGATGTATAGGGAACCAATCCCACACACATGAGGAGAACTAGGCAATACCTGTCTTCAAGGGAACAGGACCCACAGGATGGGAGAACTCATAATTCTTTTGAATGAGTTGTCTTTTTGATCTAAAGGAGGGCAGAGATTCTATGTGATCAACAAAGACACCAATTCCTRTAGAGGCAGTTTCTGGAGACCTTCCCAAATACATTGCTTGCACTAAAATTCTTGTCTTTGTTGGCTTCTGGGGAACCCAAGTTAAAATGGATTTTTACATCCCCAGACTGGAATGTAAAGATCCTTCTAGTTCTTTTTGCCCCCATCCCCTATTAAAACAAATCTCTGTCTTTCTGCTTTCCTGTCGTTGATGCCACTCGGAAGTCCTGAGGACTGATCAGATCATTAGAAGCATCACATATGGGACCAGCTATGTCCTGCTTACTTTCAGTGTGAGCTTCAAGGACACAAAGGTTAAGGGACACTGAGAACTGACATCACCAAGATGAATTCCCTGCCCAGGAGCCTGCAATTCATCAGAATGTAAAGAATGTGCAGATGGAATTTAGCCCACAGATCTGCATTTGTTTTCAAATGTCTGCAAACTTGTGTTCCTTTAGGGACATAAATTAAGCCTGTGAGATACATTATCACTGCTGTGGCCTTCCACATAGTTTTCTAATGGAAGTCATTAGAAGTTTGGCCTCCAGAGATAAGAGGCCAGTTCTGTCCAGCCTTGCTCCAGCCTGTGAGTCAGTGATGATACTTCATCCTGCCTGGGCGCCTGCCCATCCCCCTTTTGGCTGGCAAGACCATTCCAGAGGGCTTGGAGGGGTGTCGAGGAAAGGAGGGAGGCCTAGGGTCAGTCCAGCCAGCTGGGAGATGGGGCCAAGCAAATGTTCATTGAATCTTACTATGAGCCATCCATGGGACAGAGATAAAGAGAAGTTGTCTCTCCCGCAGGAAGCTCTCTGAGTAAAATAACCTGAGTGTCCACCAATAGAAGATGGACAAATGAAATGTGGTCCATTCCATGGAGCCATAAAAAGGAATAAAGTGCCCGCTAGTGCAGGGATAAAACTTGAAGGCCAGAAGGGAAACGACAGACACAAAACATGACATTGTACGATTCCATTTATATGGCACATCCATAGAAACAGGAAGTGGTTTGGTGGTTGCCAGGGACCAGGGCAGGGAAAGCAAGGACAAATAGAGCCCTGTCAGAGCAAAGTGACTTCTTAAAATCAGACACTAGACTCTGTGTTCTCCAAAGTCTCTGGCCACACGAGAAACTGTCTACCTGACACGTTTTTTGGAAATTCCAGGGTCCCACCACCCTGCATGGCTCTCTTCTCTTCCTCAAATGACTTACTTCTTACATGGACCAATTCATCCAGCTCTGGGTTTTGGTTAATAAAGTGGTTTACCAATCACTCCCTTGGTGTGTCTCTAATCCCAACCCAAATGGGCCCATGCTGGTATTTTCTAAAGAGAAAGTTTTCAAAAGGAACTCTGGCGCTAGCAGTTGGGAGTTTTTTCCCACCATTAAAGTAACATTAGTAATTTGGTCAAATTTAATTGATTTTGAACAACTATGATATTGAGCTTGTGGAAAATGACGGGGCCATGAGCTTCTTTTTTAAAAACAAGAATATTATTTTTGAACAGGTAATACATTTGCATGTTCGAAAGAGAAAAGTTGGAAAAGGATGGTCAACAAAACAAAAGTTTCCCTCCCTCCTATGTCTCCCAGGTATCTAATTCTTTCCTAGATGATCACTATTGCCAGTATCTGGTATGTTCTTTATGAGATATATCACTCACATTCAAATATTTATGTTTTATACATAATGGGATTAGGCCACATACAGTGTTCCATAGTTTGCTTTTTGTTTTAAACTTTTTTTTAGCTGTTGATAGACCTTTATTTTATGTATATATATATGTGGTGCTGAGAATCAAACCCAGTGCCTCACACATGCTAGGCAAGTGCTCTACCACTGAGCCCCAGCCCCAGCCCCCCATATTTTGCTTTTTTTTTAGAGAGAGGGGAGAGAGAATTTTAATATTTATTTTTCAGTTTTTGGCAGACACAACATCGTTGTTTTTTTTGTATGTGGTGCTGAGGATCGAACCCGGGCCGCACACATGACAGGCGAGCGTGCTACCGCTTGAGCCACATCCCCAGCCCCATATTTTGCTTTTAACATGAACAAGAATCTTAGAGAACCTTCCAAAATTTTATCACTTTTTTTTTAATTGGTGCATTAGAGTTGTACACAATGGTGGGATTTGTTGACACATATTCATTCAAGAACACAGTACAATTTGGCCGATATAGTTCCTCAGTATTTACCCCCACTCTCCTCCCTCCCCCTGTTCCTTTCCTTTATTCTATTGGAGATCCTTCCATATTTGTCTAGGAAGGAGGTTTTGTTTTTGAAAGGGTTTCTAGGATATGCCACACTTTGTTAACCAGTTTTCTATCAGAAAAACTTCCGGTTTTTGTCGTGTACAAAATTTTGTACTGAGTAACCTTACACGTGACATTTCACAAATGTATGAAATGATCTGTGGGTAAAATTCCAGAAGTGGACTTGCTGCCTTATAGAGTTTGTGCTTTTAAAATCTTGATAGATCTTGTCACACTGCCCGCTATCATATCAATTTATACTTTCCTCTGCAGGGAGAGAGAAAGCCACATTTAGAGGGGTGTGTTTGGAAATCTTATCAGGGCCCAGGCTCTACAGAGACTTTATACAAAGCTAAGAAGTTCGAATTTGACCATGAACCCTGGAAACCCAGTGAAGAAGGCCTTAGGTGGTGGGTAAGGGTGGGCAGGTCTGTTTTGAATAGTTTATTTTCATGATGAAATCAAATAAATTTTGTAGGCCATTTTTATTCTCCAGCAAGTGAAAGAGAATGAGTGAAGATGTGATGAATCAGAAGGGCCCAGTTGTCCACTAGGACGTCAGCTGTGGGGGGAGAAGGCCGTTATCACTCGAGCGCAGCTGCTGCCCTGGACAACAGGATGGCATCTGTGCCCTGGGTAGTTTTTTGCTGTCCCATAACTCTTAATTTTCCTGCCAGCTTTCTTGTATCACATATCGCCCACATGCTGATGGCTTATCCTGAGACGTCTGGCCCTCAGGTAATGCGTAGAATCAATAGTAAGGAGCTTTTATCAAGCGCCAACAGGTGACCAGATGACAAGCAGACAGGTGATAGAATTGCTTGATCTCTCTCCAGAAGATCTCTGTGAATCAGCCAGCTTCCAAACAGGCCATGAACAAAGAGCGGGGTGAAGCAAAAATGCAGACACATTCACCTTGAGTCTTTTTTTTTTAAACAAAAAGAGCTGTTGTTGTTCCATGCAAGGAAAGAAGGGATGATGGATGGCAGATGGTTGTAAAGGCCCCAGAGTATGAAAGGCCCCAGAGCAAGCTCAGCCATCGGTTCCAGCAGTGGTTCCATCATGAGTGTGGCACACTTGCTACTCCTGGGGCTGGCTCTGAGGCTGAGGGCCATCATTGCTAATCCAGAAGAGGGCAGCTTTTGCTCTAAGAGCCAAGTGGCCTTCAGAGATGCTTGTTATGAATTTGTGTCACTTGGACACACCTTCCGTGGTGCCCAGAGCTGGTGCGAAGGGCAGGGAGGCCATTTGGTCTTCATTCGTGACGAAGGTACCCAGCGATTTCTTCAGATGCACATCTCCCAGGACAGAGAATGGTGGATCGGACTCACAGGGACCTCGGCGCACAATGGAACCACAGGAGGTAGGTGCTGTGATAGTTGTTTTATGTGAATCAAATAAAATAATTCACGTACAGGACCCAGCACAGAGTCCAGCCACAAAGCTGACAGTCTAGAAATGTCCATTTCTTTGCATGCACTTCCACCCCCACCAGTGCTGGGGATTGAACCTAAGGCCTCACACATGCTGGCAATCACTCTACCCCTGAGCTGCATCCCCAGCTCTGCATGTACCTAATATTAATGCCAGTTAGAACTTCTTCAGTTTCTTGCTAGAATGATGCTGGACACTATCCTGAGTGCTTCATGGCCATTATCATGCTGATCCATACGATAAAAATGAGAAAATTGTCATTCTCCTCATTTTACAAATGAGAAAACAGTCTCCCAAAATAATGAGATAGCTATTTTCAAAGTGCATTCAATGCTTTTCCCCAGTTGTTAGGAAATGAAAGCAGGCCAAGTGCTCAGCACAGCTCTGTCCACATTAGATGGTCTCATCTTAATGGTCCTTTTAGAGACTATCTCTGCTCTCATGTGTGGGGCTCCTGCTGCATCCTGGCACAGTTGTGAACTTCTGTTTCAAATATAATTTACATGCAGCTAAGGGAGCCAGGTCTACTAAGGTCCCCTAAGGGATACTGTATAGCAGTTTCAGAAAATGATGTAGGTCTACTAGGTTGATATGTAGCAACCTGCAAGATGTCATGTTAGTGGTGAAAGAGGAGCTGGAACACTGTGAGCAATATGATACTGTTTACACAATTGGATTTCAGGCACTCATAAATACTGATATGTGCTTAAGATTCATTAGGAACAATTTACAAAAAACCTAATAGTGGGAGCAGTTTTGTAGGTTGGGAGAGGGAAGATATTTGCATTTTGCACCACTTTATAGCACTTGAAGCTTTAAAAAATTGTTGCATGGATTTATTTTCTTTTTAAAATGGATAATTACACTCTCCAAGTCTTACTAGTAAATTTTTCTTATATTTTAGAGCTCACGAATATCTTTGAGACTCTTCTCTCTCTCTCTCTCTCTCTCTCTCTCTTACACACACACACACACACACACACACACACACACACACACACACACCCTACCTCTTCAAGGGCTGCAGCAGGCTTTTCAAGGTGCTGAGGGGTCCTGAAATGATTCAAACTGCTTGCATCTTTACTCAGCCACATGCATCTGACCAGAACCCTGCTAGTGCGTAGAACACCTGTGAACATCCACGGCACCCTCTTGGGCTCTCTCTCTGATCATGGGAAATGATCTAAAATGAAAGGGGAGCATCGTTAATTGAGTTGGACCACCCTCTATGGGCTGTGCACTCTGGTGTCCTGGTTCTTATGTCTGATTGTTGGAAGCTAATGGCAAGGCTATGCCCCTCTTCTAGTATGGGGACGAGAGCCTTTACCCACCTACGTTGGCTGAGCATCTATGGCATCCCAGGACTTGAGCTGAGGCAAGACCTCCACATAGAGAAGAGGGATCCCCGCTAATCCTAGCCACCATGTTCCCATCCCAGGGCCCTGGACCTGGTTGGACACTTCAAATGTGAGCTACAGCAACTGGCAACAAGGGCAGGCCACACCTGCCCCTGACACCTGTGGCTACATCGGGAGAGGCCCTTCCTCCCAGTGGGCTGCCTCTGATGACTGCACCCAGGCCTTGGCCTTTGTCTGCGAGTTTGGTGAGCTGGCCCTGTCTGGGGCTCCCTCCTCCGGGCCTCTGCCTGGCCGCTCAGCTCCGTGCAGCTTTGCCCCTCCCTCTTCTTCAGCTTCCCTTCCTTCTTGGCCTCTGGCTTCTCTTGGTCTCCCCTCTCCTCTCTCCCTGTTCTCCTTCTCGGTCTCTCCCTGTACTTCTGTGGTGTTCCCTGTTCTCTTTGGTGCCGTTGCTCCATCTCCCTGTCCCCCTGTTTAAGAGCTTATTAGTCTTTTTCTGATCCCGCCTCTGTTTGTCCAGGGCTTTCTCCTTTCGTCTCCCATGCCCCCCAACCCGGGTGCTCTGCATCTCTGTGTCTTGCTTCCTCTCTGCAGCTCCCTGCTTTCTCCCCTGTCCTGGCACCACACAGCCCTGTCCAGCTGCTCTCCATCTCACTGTGAACCCCCTAAAGCATCACCTTCCCTTTGCCACAGGGGTTGGTCAGAGCCTGGCCTGTGGTGGCCTCAATGCCACCATGCACTGCGGCTCAGGAGAGGTCATCCAGATCCAGGATGCCTTCTATGGGCGCCAGACCCCCCATTATTGTACCCAAGAAGACCTGCCTCCTTTGGATCTCGAGAAGGATTGCAGCTGGGTCAGCGTCAAGGACGAGGCGGCAGGTAGGGCCCCTGGCTCCTCCCACCTCCTGGGTCTATAGCATGGCCCTCACTATCCTTGGAGCAGGTATGGGTAGAGGCTATGCTGGACCCACTTCCTGGTTCTCTGCGACTCTCCTCGTTGTTTCAGCAATCCTGACTGTGGCCCCAAGGAGGAAAGGCCTCAGCTGGATAGGCTTATGCATGAGATCCCTTCACCAAGGCACACCGGGACAGACAGGGAGGTCCTCTCAAAGGCTCTCCTGAAAGTTTTGGAGACATGGCAGCTACATCCAGGGAACACTCTAGAGGAGAGCCCTTGTACCCCACTGGAGGAGATCCTGAGGGCCCCCCAATTCCATCTTTATCTACCTGCCCTAGTCACTTGCCCATTCATTTGGCCAATAAACATTTATTGAGAACCAATATTGTGCTATGCACTATCCTGGGCTCTGTGGATACAGGGATGAATCAATCTGTTTTCTAAAGAGCTCAAAGTCCAGGGGGAGACATATGTGTTGGTGTTGGTGATTAACTATAGTGTGATAAGTGCTACATCAGAAGGGAGCAAAAGGCACTACAGATTTGCTCATGCATAGTGCTACTCTGTAGTCCAGTACACATGCAGTTCCTAACTCAGATTGAGGGGTGTCTCTAACCGGGTTGCATCAGAAATCACACTAGGGAGCTAGGGTTGTAGATTAGCGCTAGAACACGTGTCACATATCTAAGTCTCTGGGTTTGGTCCCTAGTAACACACACACACACACACACACACACACACACACATGCACGCACACACACACTACACACACACCCCACACAACTCAAAGAACCAATTCTTACAAATGTTTTGAGCTGGGTGCAGTGGCACATACCTGTAGTCTCAGCTACTTGGGAGGCTAAGGAGGACTCTGGAAGTTTGAGGCCAACCTGTCTTGAACATAGTGAGACCCTGTCTTGAAAAAAGAAAAGGAAGAAAGACAGATAGGAAAGAAGGAAGGAAAAAAAACCCCACAAAGTTACCCTGTGTCTTTCTACAGAGGGAATTTAATGCAAGGAATTGGTTCCTGAATCATGGAATTTCTGAGAAGCCAAACAAGGGTTGTCACATTACCCTGATCCCTGGACCTATGGCCTGGGGAGACACCATGCCTGTGAGTGTGTTAACTGACAGAGCACAGGGGCTGTGCAGATGTGACTAAATTGCTAGTTAACTGGTGTTAGGCAAGGGAGATTATCCGGGATTATCCAGTTGGGCATAATCTGAACATGTAAGCCCTTAAAAGCAGAGAGCTTTCTCTTGCTAGAAGCAGAAGAGAGAGTGGGAGGAGAAGTCAGAGAGAGTCCAGCAGTGAGACAGAATTGATGTGCTGCTTCTGGCTTCGGAAGTACAGGGCCACATGCAAGAGAAACCTCCAGGATCTGGGAGCTGAATTCTGCCAACAAAAATAATGTCAGAATCTGACTCTTCCCAGAGTCTTCAAAAAGGAGAGTGGCCCTGCTGATTTCAGCTCTGTAATACCCGAAGTAGAGCCCAGCCCAGCCCAGTCAAACTTCTCACCCCCAAACTGTGAGATAATAAATCCATGTTGTTTTAAGCTGCTAAATTTATAGTAATGTGTTCTAGTAGCGGTTGGAAATGAACAAGCTCTCTTCCACCATGGCCTACGTGGCSAGGCTTACCTGGGAACCAGTGGACCAGGGACTTTGAGAAATGTGGGCCCCTGCAATATGGAGCAGGGTTAGGCAAGCTTGGGTCATGGGGCAAGGGTGAGCAGGTACCTTGGGGCTAAGGGTCCAATGACCAGCCAACTTTCTATTGGCGATGAGGCAGGAGGTGACCAGGAAAAGCACAGGTGGGGGCTTGGGGAATGGGAGGGCGTGTGCCAAGCCCTGCAGGCAGAGGGCTCAGTGGTGCAGGGACTGCAAAGTGTGCAGCCAGTTCCAGCCTAGGTGAGAAGGGGACCTGCCCAAGGACCCTGGACTCAATCCCAGTGACACTGGAAAGCACTGGAGGATCTGAGCAGAAGAGGGACATGGAGTTGTTTTAGAGACACCCTCAGGTGGCTGTGAGTTCAGGTGGGGGCTGGAAGATGGAGAGGCCCAGGTGCTAGAGGCAAGTGGTCCCGGGGCCAAGGGGGAGAAAAGTGTGTATTCTAGAGACACATGGGGTTGGCTACTGATGGGAAACCAGGATGACCATGGCTTGGGCCTTCTGGGTCTGGAGGTGGGTGGGTGGGTGGGTATGCAGAGAAGAAGGCCAAGAGAGTGGGGAGCAGCAGCAAGGTCGTGGAGAGAAAGAGCTGATGAGTGTCCCAAGGCTGCCAAAATGGAGTCCTGCATACTTCGGGGCTTTGAACAACAGAAATCTATCCTCTCACAGTTCTGGAGGCAGGAAGTCCAAAACGAAGGTGCCAGCAGGGCTGTGCTCCCTCTGAGAGCTGTAGAGGGCACTCCTTGCCACTCTTGGGTTTTGGATACATTGTTCCAGTCTCTGCTTCCATTTCCACATGGTGTTTTCTCCCTGTGTGTCTTGTTGCCCAAATTTTCCCCATCCTGTAAGGACACCAGTAGCGGATTAAGAGCTCACCCTGATGACCTCATCTTAATGACATCTGTAAAGACCCTATTTTCAAATAAGGTCCCATTCACAAGTTCCAAAGGTTAGGACTTCAATATATCTTTCTGGGGAACACAATTTAGCCCATATCAGGGATCAAGACCTCGCCTTGGTGTAGGAGGAGCCTGACCCTCTCCAGAGACAGTAGCACGGGAGATGTAGGCTGGGGAGTGATGGACACCTGGGTGAAAACCAGGTACAGGAAACAGAGAGCACAGGGGAGGAATTCAGGCCCAAGGGGGCATGTGGCAATCCAGTGGGGGTTTTCCCTTCCCTGGCTAAGCAAACACATAGGTACTTAGAAGTTTAAAGTCTAGTGCAAGCATAGGTTTTTGAGTGGCAAAGGAGAACCTGGATGTACAGGCACTGTCATTCAGAGCCCGAGGATATTCTCGGGCCACAGGGCCTGCCTGACCCTCTCTCTCAGGCTGCTTTGCAGGCTTCTAATACATGGGCAGGAGGGAGAGGTGTCAGATGATCCTGGTGTGGGGTCTCCATGCTCTTCCCTTTTGCAGGCATATAGATCCCCGATAGACACAGGATTCCTAATCTTGCCCCCTCTTGTTGACTCCCAGGCTGTAGGCTTCTACTTTAGACCATCTGTCTAGGTGCTGGTGGGCCAGTGGTTCTCAAAGTGTGGTCTGTAGGCCAGCAGTATTGACATCACCTGGGAGCTTGTTAGAAAAGCAGGATCTTAGGTCTCACCCAGACCTACTGAATCCAAATCACTGAAGGTAGGCTTTGGAATTCCATGACTTCACAAGCCCTCTGGAGGATCTGAGGCATGCTGAAGTTTAACCAATGCTCCAGACCTGAGCTGCTAACGGTCAGGAATCTTACCTTCCTGTCCCTTTACCTCACCCAGTGCCTGGTCTTTGGCAGATGCCAATGGTTGTTTGTTGGGTGGGTGGGTGGCAGGTAAAGGAATGGATGAATAGTAACCAATCTCTGCTGATGTCTGTCCTTGTGTCTTGCACATCATCCCTGTTGCTGCTGGGACTTGGATGCTTCTCAGGCCAGTGCCAGGGGCTGCAGGCATGCCAGATAGCAGCAGATGAGACCTACTTTGGAGATCTGTGCCCCACTCAGGGCAGCTACCTATGGGTGCAGTACCAATGCCAGGAAGGTGAGTCCCCCTCTTGCTTGGGTGTAGGAATGGTTCTTTTTTTTAATATTTATTTTTCAGGTTTGGCTGACACAAAACTTTATTTTATTTTTATGTGGTGTTGAGGATCGAATCCAGCTCCCCACACATGCCAGGAGAGCACTTTACCACTTGAGTCACATCCCCAGCCCCTGGAATGATTCTTATGTCCATAGCATGTCCAGCTTCCCCCGGAGGAAGCACAGCAGTTCCTATGTGGGTGCTGAGAGGCTTCCTTACCAAAACAGCTTCCCTATAGCTTGACCCCCCCAACCCCCAAGCTGGCTTCTTGGGGTAAAGCATTTGCAGCTCCTACTGCAGAAGTTAAAAGAAAAAAAAAGAAGTGTTAACCCCAGGACCCTTCATTAAATTTCAGGTTGCTTGATTTGGAAGGAACCAAAGGATCTCTCACTTTACAAAGTACAAATCTTGAGGGCTGGGGTTGTGGCTCAGTGGCAGAGCTCTCACCTAGCACATGCAAGGCTCTGGGTTCGACCCTCAGCACCACATAAAAATAAATAAATAAAGGTATTGTGTCCAACTACAACTAAAAAACAAATAAATATTTTAAAAAATACAAATTCTGAAAGCCACAAAAATCAATCCACAATATCACAATTTATAAAAGCTTTTTAGGGGCTGAGGTTGTAGCTCAGTGGTAGAGTACTTGCATCGCATGAATGAGGCCCTGGGTTCAATCCTCAGCACCACATAAAAATAAGTAAATAAAGATATTGTGTCCATCTACAACTAAAGAAACTTAGAAAAAATAAAAGCTTTATCAATTAAAAAGGAAAAAAAAATATTCCCTTCAATTTGACAATCCTGTTCCCCATAAGGAAACACTATTAATTATTTAGAATAGAAACTTTCCTGCTTTTTAAAATGTTTGCATAGACATGGCTATGTATGAATGTATTTGCCTATATTTTTTATAAAAATATATCATGTGAAACATAGTGGTCTACAACTTAGTTATTTTTTAAAAAATTTTTTAGAGGAGAGATCCCTACCAGTGGGAGAGCTGGATCACAGTGTGTGTGCATTTTAAAGGTAACAGGCATTGCCCTCTAAAGTGGTTGCATCCCATAAACAGGGTGGGAAAGTACCAGCTTCCCTTAAGGCTGTGAAACCACCCTGAGCCGCCATCTGACAAATCACATAGAACAACAGCTTCTACTGTGGACACAAGCAATAGGGACAAGAGCTCTGAAGGGAAAAGATGAGCCAAGGAAAGCTGGGGTCGCCAGGGCACATCTAGGACAGAAGAAGGAGGGAGGATCCACAGATGACAGGGTGCAGAAAAGGGAGGGTGGCAGTAAAGACAGGTTTCACCAGCGTCGTGAGTTTGCCGAATGTGCCTGGGGGAATTAAGAGCAAGTAAGATGTGTCCATTCCGTTTTCTGGGGAGAGGGCCACGTGTTTTGGCAGCAATTTCCATTTGGTGGTTTTGCTAGTGGACAAAGGGTGCCCCTTGGAGATCTGCCAGCTGCAGCATTGCTGTCGCTAGACAAACGTGTCACTTAGAGCACAAGGGTATGCTGGATCTGACGACAATGTGGACCAGATTTCCTGCCCCTACCCTGATTTTGAACATCCTGCTCCCTTGTGAACCAGTGTGTTCTGCTCACGGTTTCTGATTTGTGAAGGAAGGGACTTTATCTGGTGCCCTGCTGACTATATTCAGAGGGCCTAGCTGCATCCTGAGCATCTTCAGAAAACTCTGAATCAGGCCCTGATGGCTTTCAGACCAGCTCCAGAAGATCCTTTCCACTGACATTACAGTGCCAAGCACTGAAAGACTGCAGTGCCTGGATTAGCCCAGGGCCATGGGGAGCCACAGCTAAGTCACTTCCCTCAGCCCATCCTCTGTGCCAAGTTTTGAAGTTCAAGGTTTTATAAAATTTAATGTGCACTAAGTAGCTTACGTGATTCATCTGCCACCTTAGTCAAGTAGAGTTTCTTAAAGGGGTTTTGCCTTTTGTCTTTTTAACCATCATAAAATCATTGGGACAATCAATAGAATCCTGGCTTTATAAGTCAGGATACACTGTGCAGCTATTAAAAAGAACAAGGCAGCTCTAACTGTGGTCCTACAGAGCAATCTCAGGTGTGCTAAGTAAAGAAAAGTCAAGGTGCTGAACAGTGAATTTAGCAGGCACCATGTGTGTAAATGAAGTAGGACTGTGTGCTGTGTGTGCAGCTGTCTCTGGAAGGTGAACCTGGGCTGGTAGCTATGGCTGCTCTGGCAGAGAACCAGAGCTGAGGGACAGGAATACAGGGGAGGCTGGCTTTTCATTCTGTGCCCTTTATACATGTCACACTCATACTATCTTTGAATGGAAATAAAATTTTAAAGAACTTTTAAAACCAAAAATAAACTTTAAATGTCCCATATAAAAATAAAGGTCAAGTGGTAGAATAGGGTAGGTTTTAAGCAGAAATGTGCAACTTTGCTTTGCAAGAGCACTGGGTGTCTTATGTTTGGATCTGCAGGCCTGCGACTGGTGGTGACAAATGGGAGTTTCATCTTTGACAATGTCACCATCTCCTTGACATGGCTCCTCTCTCCCTACATTGGAAATCTGTCCTGTATACTCAGCATGGGAGATGGCCACACTCTTGATCCCTACTACCCTCCCAGGTAAGAGGACTCTCTGAGCCTGGAGTCGGATTGTATCAGTCAGTTGTTGCCATGTAATAAGCACCCCCCCCCCAAGAACTTAGTGACTCATGGTTCTTGGGCTGGGTGACTTTTCTGGTATGGGTTGACTTTGCTGGTATTTAATGTAAAAGTTTGTGGGATCTCAAAGCTACCCACCTGGCTTATAACATTGAGGTCATATCTCAGATGCTCTCTTGTCAACTCCAGCAGTCTTGCTTCTCAATTTGCAATAGGGCATGGACTCTAAGTACACAGAAGTCACATGCTTTGTGTGGATGTCACTCTGCTTTTCTTTCACATGTTATACCAACTCCTACTTTTGATTAACTCCTTATTAGTCTAAGAAAAAGGGATTTTAATATCCGACTCTCCAGGTCCGCTGCAGATATATACGTGAGTTGAGGGGGAGACTCCAGCCTCAAGTGGAAATGGTGCCTTGGAAGTCAGAAATCCTCCTTGAGGACCGCCTTCCTGCTTGAGGTTCTTTGGTCCTTGTATTCATTTATACAGCGAGATCTTCATTTCTCTATTAAGAAAAGCTTTCTACATTTCTGGAATTATATCATGGACCTTAGGGGACAAATTTACACAAGGCAGTTTGTTCAAGTTCAGTATTGGGTAACCAAGCGCCACCCACTGGCAGATTGGGGGGTTGACACCATTATTTCATCCTCATTCAGAGCTGCCACTTACACACAGCTGAGGAACTTGTGGGAGACCCGTAATTCACAAGACAACACAAGCCTTAGAGTGACCTAGTGTACACAGGCTGTTTGGGGAGGCACAGAGGAAGGTGACAGAAGGTGAAGCTCAGAAAGGACTCTGGAGTGGAAGTCCTTTGGGTTGGGGGCCAGAATGCTAAGGCAGGAGCAGCAGGTCTAGGAAAGGAGACAGCCTGGGCCTGAGAGCCGTGACGTGCTCCAATGACTGATAATATCTCATTCTACTGGGCATTCAGGGGATGTGGAAAAACCAGAGATGCCGGAAAACTCACCAGAGCCCCTGTCCAGAGGGCCTTTGTGCCAGCCGGTCTAAGGAGAGCAGAGGAAGTCGCACAGGTTGAGTGCCAGGAAAGACTGAACTGGAACATGGGAGGGGTGCCAAGAGGGGCAGAGGAGAAGTGGAACTGGGAGCAGCCTCCACCGACGTCCCACCAATGCCATGGAGACCGGAGTGGGGTGGCTCTTAGGGCCTCTTGAGTTGAGGCCAGAGAGGGGACACTTACCCCTGGCATCGAGCAGTCACTGGAAGCAGATGTGCTGGGAAGGGGATGTTACCAGGGGTGAGGCATCTTCCTATGACTAAGGGGTCCCTGGAGTTGGGTTCAGCCGTGGGGCCTGGAGGAACTTGGGCAACACACTTGAAGCATCCACTACAGAGGAGCAGAGAAGAGATTTTAGGCCTGGGAATTATACGGCCTATGTTGTTAATATGATTTCTAGTGTTGTTATACTCACTGGATAATTTTAAGGAGCATGAGACCACAAAGAAGAAAATAACTGGCAGAGTTGATTCCTTAATTCTTATAATTATATCAATATTACATGAAAGTGAATAATACTTTTATTTCATAGGCCAAGTAGTACACAATGGTATCCTGTTAAACAAAAACCACAGTATTTGGGTTTATTATATACCAGATGCTTCCTCAGTATTGTATCCTTTAAGCCTAATAACAACCCTGCCAAGGCCGGTTCTATCTCCATTGTGTGGATCAGGGAATCAAGGCTCCAGGAGCTTAGTTGAGACATTAGGTTAGATATCAGGATCTTAGGTCCTGCAGGTAACCAGTGGATTCCCTAGGAGATGTGATCCCGGTTCCCCACTCTTTCTGCTCTATCCCACTGCCCGGCTTGGTCAGAGGGCTTCATCTACCAACTTGGTGGGCCACTTCTCAGTGTCATAACAAAGTGACACAGACTATGGCATTCTATACAGCTAGATACTTGGAGCAAAGGCCAGAAATGTGAGCTTTGCTTCAAAGAAAATTACATCTTATTAAAGGTAAATATTAGCCATGAGTGCCACCACTGAGCCACAAGCATCTTGAGCTATTTTTTAACCTTTCTTTTGAAGTACAACGTACAGAAAAGTGAATAAAAATGTAGGGCTTAATCCCTTGATACATAATGAACACACACATGTAACCAGCTACTGGACTGGGAAAGGCAGGTGACCAGCCTTCCCAACATCCCTCTCAGTCCCCGTCAGCCTCAAGGATAACCACTGCCCTAATTCCCTAACCTCACAGGTGAGTGTAAGCTGCATTTGAAGCTTAAGTAAAAGGAATCATAGAGAATACACTGTATTTGACTTCTGCTCAAAATTAAATTTTTGGATTTGTTCATATCACATATAATTCTGATTTCTTTTTCTCATTGCTGCATAACATTCTACAGTGTAAATATCCTTCAACTTTTTGCATTCTAGTGTTGGTGAAACATTTGGATGGTGTTTCATTTTTGGCTATTACAAATTGTACTGCTACCAACATTCTAGCCCACCTTTTTGTACATATATTAGATTTAAATCCAAGAAAGGAAATGCTGGGTCTTAGCATCATATAGGATCACACTATGAATTTTTAAGTTGTTTTCTCTCTCTGTCTCCCTCCCCCCCCTCTCTTTTTCTCTCTCCCTCCTCCCACTCTCTCCTTCTCCCTCTCTGTATTCTGAGCCTATCTCCCTTGGCTGGCAGCAGTTTCTAAAACCACTTTGCACTCTTCTACCTCTGGTGAGATTGCTGAGGGAGAAATTAGGAAAGGTTCATTTCTCTGCCTTTTAGTCCTGGGCAATTTCAGCTGATATCAGAGTTCAGAGAAAGGAATAAATGGCTTCTTCCAGATAGATCACTGATACATACACCCTTCACATTTCCACAGAGGGTTCCTGTTTTCCTATTCTGAAATCTACATTGTCTGATATTGTCCAACTCAGTGCTTGCTGATTTATCTTTCATTCCTTCATTTCAATTAGGCCATGTGGTTATGTTTAAAGTGGACTTCTTGTGGATAGCACATGGTTAGGTCTTGGTTTCTTAAGAGCCAATGAGGCACAAGCATTGGTGTATTTAGACCACTTACAATTATTGTAATTGCTGCTGTAGTTAGATTGAGGTCCATCATTTTAAAATTTGTTTTCTGTTTGCCCCCTGTTTTTATTTCTTCTACTCCCCTTTCCTGTCTTCTTTTGGATGATTTGAATGATTTTAGCATTCCATTTTAACTTTAACTTTTGGCTGTGTTTCTTTGCATTACTCTCTCAGTGGTTAATGCAGCGTTTACAATATACATACCGAACCTTTCATGGTCTACATAGAGTTAACATTTTACGCCATTAGGTAAAGTGTTAAAGCCTTACCAGGCTCCCGCTTTATCCCATAGGACTCACACTCCTGCATGCTGTACTTGTCATGGATATGACATCCAGGTACACTGAAAACTCGCTTCAACAGCCATCTGTATTTGAAAGAATTTAAGATGGGAAAAACAGTCTATACATCCAACCACATATTACCATATCTTGTGCTCTTCCTTCATTCCTGAAGTTCCACATGTCCTTCTGTTATCTCCCTTCAGCTGGGAAGAGCTTCCAGTAGCATTTCTTTCAGAGGAGACTAGCTAGCAACAAGTTCTCTTAGTTTGCCTGAGAATGTCTTTATTTTGCCTTAATTCCTAGAAGATATTTTTTTCTGGATCTAGAGATCTATGTCGACGACTCTATCCTTTTCAGCTGTTTAGACATGTTTCAGTGTCTTCTGACATCCACAGTTTGTATTGAGAAATCTAGAGTCATTCAAAACTTTTTTTTTTTTTTTTTTTTAGTATGTAACATATCATCTTTTTATTTCTGGCTACTTTCAAGACATTTTCTCCTTATCTCAACTTCAGCAGTTTGATTATTATAGATATGGGTGTGACTTACTTTATTTCCCTGTTTGGGGTTCATTGAGCCTCTTAAATCTGTAAATATGTCTTTTGTCATGTTTGAGAGGTTTCCACATTATTTCTTCAAATATATTTTTCTACATGAATCTTATTTCCTCTCTCTGGGGCTCCAATGACACACAGGTTAGATCTTTTGATATTGTTGCATAGGTTGTCAACACTCTGTTTTTTGCTACTGTGTATTTAACCCGGGTGTGCTCTACCAGTGAGTCACAGTCCCAGATATTTTAAAATTTTGAGACAGGGTCTCGCTAAGTTGCCTCTGCTGGCCTCAAACACGCTATCCTCCCTCAGCCTTCTGAGATGCTGGGGTTACAGTCATGTACCACCATACCTATCCTACCATACCTATCTGATCATTTAATGTTTTCTCTCTGTTCTTCAGATTGGACTTCTCTTGGTCTATCTTCAAGTTCAATGACATTTCTCTCTTTCATCTCTATTCTGCTATTGAACTCATCAAGTGAATTTCTTATTTCATATATTGTATATTTTCAGTTCTAAAATTTCCATCTGGTTCTTTTTTGTAGTTTCTGTTTCTCAGCTGAAAATGCATGCCTTTCCACTCATTTCAGGATGGTTTACTTTGACCTCACAGAACATGCTTATAACATGACTTAAAGTCCTCATCTGGTAATTCCAACATCTCAAGACTGACTTCCGATTTCATTTTCCCCTGAAGTTTGGTCACATTTTCTTGGTTCTTTATGTATCAAATAATTTTGGATTGCATTCTGAATTTTTTGAGTAGTATGTTCTGAAATTCTGGGTCTTGCTGAAATCTTCTGGAAGTTTATTTTTAACATTTATTTGTTTTAACAGGCAACTGACCCAGATAGGTCCCATCACATGTCTGAGTTGCTTGTTCTGAAGTAGTTTCAATGTCAGTCCAGTTTTCAGGGATGTTTGAGTCTGTCCTGTGCATTCACCTCCCAGGGTCACGGTTTTGTTGTAGGTTAGTTCACAAAGCCTGTGCTGTTTCTTTGGGGTCTATGTGCAGTTTGAAGATGAGCTTGTGTTTTTTGCTGGTTCAATCACAGAATTAGGGAATTCTCTCTCTATCTCTCTGGTACATTTGTATTTCCTCTGGGCAGACAGATGGGCTTTCTTTTTTTTCTGGTTCTGGGCATTGAACTTGGGTGCACTTGACCACTGAGCCACATCCCCAGCCCTATTTTGTTTTTATTTAGAGACAGGGTCTCAGTGAGTTGCTCAGCACCTTGCCTGGCTTTGAACTTGCAATCCTCCTGCCTCATCCTCTTAAGCCACTGGGATTATAGGCATGAGCCTAGTGCCTGGCGTCCCATATTTTTTAAATTGGTGCATTTATAGTTGTACATGATGATGGGATTTGTTGTTATATATTGGTAGATGCACCCAATGTAACAATATAATTTGGCCACTATCACTCCCCAGCACTTTCCCCACCTCTCACCTGTTGTTGGTCCCTTTGTCTACTGATCCCTTTGATTTTCATGAGATCCCCGACCCCATGAAAGATGGGCTTTCTATTGATGATTTAGATGTTTGCATTACCCTATGCTGTTAATGTAGCTCCTAGAGAGGGGACAGTCTTGGGACAGTTTAAGAGAGGCAAACAAGTAACAAAACAAAGCAAAACTGGAGACTTCCCCTATATTCTCAGACTTACGTGGTCCTGATCCCCTTCTTAAACAGAGAAGGGGTTTCTCCTGGGGTTTTTGCTCTTTCTTCATCCCCTATACATTTCATGATTTAGGCTACCCTTGGATCAAAGCCAAGAGTGGAAAAAAAAAAAGCAAAACAAAACAGGAAACTACCGTCTTTATGGGTCATTCTTCACATTTTGACTTTCTTCCCAATCTGCTCACTGTTGTTTTACTTTTTAAAAGTCCTTGAGTAGTTTTTGTCTTCACAAATATTTCACAAATATGTTCACTTGCTGCATATTTCTTGAGCACTAACCATGTTCTAGATAGTATGTGGAGGCCCCAGATCCAGTTAGCCCACCAGATTCATGGATCTGTATCTGCAGATTCAACCAACCAGATAGAAAATATTTGGAAAAAAAACTAATAAAAATTAAAAAAATAAAATATAAACATAAAACTAAAGTACAATAACTATATAATATTTACATTATACTAATATTTTAAGTGATCTGGAGATGCTTTAAAGTACACAGGATGACGTATATAGATTATAGGCAAATGCTGTGCCATTTCATAAAGAGACTTGAGCCTCTGTGGATTCTGTTAGCTGTTGGGGGGGCGTGGCAGATCCTGGAACTGTCCTCACTGAGCCCACTGGCAGAGGATAAGACAGAGCCAGCAAGCACAAAAGACATGTGTGCCCTCCCAGGAGAAGCAAAGAAGCTACAGTGACCATAAAAGGAGTCTGACTTAGTCCTTGGTTTAAGGAGGCTTCCCTTAGGAAGTGAGGTTTAAGTGGAGGACCCAAGGAGCCATCTGAGAACGAACAAGGAGAGGGGACAAGACACTTCCCAGTGAGGAACCACACACTTGGCAGTCTTGAAGCAGAAAGGCGGCGTGGTCCAGAAAATGGACAGTAGTCTGGGTGACCAGTATAGTTAGACAAGGGGAAAGAGGCAGGAGATGAGGGTTGCAGTGAGGAAGGAGAGGTCTGTGGATCTTTGTGGGCCATGGGAGAGTTTTTTAATTAGCACCTTGAAAATAAGAAGCCAAACATGCCTGCAACTCTGGTATGTTTAGAATCTGATTCCATTTTACAAATGGGGAAAATAAGGCTGAGAGAGGTAGTCTGGAGCACTGTATTTCACAGATGAAACAAGAAGGAAGATGAGGCAGAGAGGGGAAGAAATGACAGGAAAGGGACTTGCACCTGAGACTCGCCTCCCTGACCAGTGCCGTTTCTACCACTGTTCCCCTGTCCTGGAGGTCTCAGGGTAACTTCCCTAACACTGAGAGCTGGGCATTCCCCTTCATCTTTTCTCTTTGCAGAGCCTAAAGATGTGAGTCAGGTGTGAGTGTGTGTGAGTGTGTGTGTGTGTGTGTGTGCGTGCGTGCGCGCGCCCATGCATCCCCAATGCTAATAACATTTCTGACTGTGGCGGCAGTTTGTCCAGCACCGTGATCCACCAGTTTACATCTCCTGGGGAATTCACTGTGTTTTCGGAGTGCACAACCAGCGAGTGGCATGTGACAGCTCAGAAACAAGTAACAGTGCGAGATAAGATGGAGAAGCTCAGTGTCACTGGGTGTGCCGGCCGATCCAGATCAGGAGCCAGCCCTCTCTGCCGGGCTGTCTTTGGGGAGCCTCTGTGGATTCAGGTGGAGCTTGATGGAGGTGAGTCTGCAACACTGGGGCGGTCAAGGTGAGCTGAGGGTCCTCGATTTCCTCTGAGTTTGTCTAGGTAACTACCAGCTTTGATAAATAACAACAGTGATTACTTTGAATTAAACTACCATTATCTACCACGCGGCCTGCGCAGTGGTTTCATTAATGAGGTTCTAGGCATAAAGTTAGTTAGACGAGATCGAAATAAAAACACAAGACTCAATTACCTTAATTCTATTGCTAGGTCCGAGACGGCTCCCCTCTCTGGTTCGCTCCTCTAGCCGCCCAGCAGGGCAGCAAGGATTACTCAGGGCTAGCAGGAGAGAGAGAGCGAGCACGCCGGGGAGTAGCCTTTTATTAGGGAACCAGAGATTCAGGGGAGAATTCCATCCAATGAAGGTTGAGGGGGGGCTGCACTCCAAGGTCAGGGTCAGCGATTGGGTCCCCGGGGTCAGTGGTCAGGCACACCCCCACACGGATGGGCTCTCTCATCAGGAGAGGGACAGGAAAAACTTCGACATTTGCCAAAGTGCCTCAGACCCTCAACGGGAGGCACCCGATCACGTGTGAGAATGGCTCCCAACACCATTTATTCATTTATTTAGCAGCTATATGTGCCATGCACTGTTCTAGGTGCTTTTCTTATGCTAGCCTACTAAGTGCATACTAGTATTATCTCCATTTTATAGATGAAGAAATGGTGACACAGAAAGGTTAAAAAATGTGCCCAGAGTCACAAGGCTAGTGAGTCAGAGAGCTCCCAGCCTTCCCAAGCCCTTCTTTGCCTGCCCATAGACGCATCACAAGAACAACTTCCATGCCTCTTCCTGTTGGGGGAATTTGAATGGGATGAGGTGGGACTGGGAGGACTCTAGCTAGGCTGACCCTACCTCAGTATAGCCAGCATCAGCCAGCAGGGCATGGTCATCTTGCTACAGTCATGACTAATATTCAGCTGTACACACTGGCACCACCACACCAGCTGTTACAGTGATGGTCCACCCAATGCTGTTTCCAGTTGGTTGCAGACATCATTCTGATTGGTCATCGTGTCTATTTTTTTATTGGCCAAGGTGTCCGTTTTGATTCAGATTAGATTCATGGCATCTATTTTGATTGGTCATAGTAGCATTTCTGATTGGTCACAGTGTCATTCTGATTGGTCATGGCATCCATTCTGATTTGTTACAGAATTCGTTCTGATTGGCTACAGTGTCCATTCTGATGCCTCAGACCATCTGTTCTATTGGCTGGTGCTCACACTGTTTCAGTAGTTATTTTAAACATCACCCTTTCTCTTGTAGAGACTTCCTGGCTAAGAAACCATCCTTGTCCAGGGCAGCATCTTTTGATGAGGTGCAGGTCCAGTGTGAGATCCGTAGCAAGCCTGTTGATGTCAGTGACGCAGCACAGAGCTGTGGAAATGGGGACGTGACTACTTACCACCGGGAGCCCTGCTCCAGCAGTACCTTAGTGGAGGGGTAAAAGGCTTGGACGGTGCTCATGGTGCTTCCTTCTGCTCTTGATTGTTTGCTGGCTGAAGAAGGATGATATTGTGAACCTGGGGAAGCCTAAAACAAACTTTTATCTATTTATTATATAAATATAATTTGGTACCAATAATTTCTCCTCCTCCTTCTTCATTATCATCTGAATTAGAAATACACTAGCTTGGAAGGAATTCTAATTTTTTGGTATAAATGATATTTTAAGATTCTCATGATATTTAGCACCCAGTAAGGGTTCCTATCTGCAAACTGTGAGGGAGCACCCACCCAAGGTAAAGAGGCTGAGTTTTCCTGTTGGTAGGCTTCAGGCAGTCATGGTGGAGGAGGAAGAAAAGCCTCCACTTGCTACCACTGAAATAAGACTTGAGGCCCATTCTCATGCATAAAAAACAGTCCACCTCTGAGATGCTGCCTTTTCAGCTTCTTCCCTAAGGACATCCCTATCAACAAAATGTTCTAACAGTTTTGTTACACGCTTCTAAGTTCAAGGGTAACCTATGGCGGTACACACCTGTGACCCCAGCTACTTGGGAGGCCGAGGCGGGAGGATCACAAGTTCAACTTAGCAAAACCCTGTCTCAAAACAAAGTATAAAAAGGGCTGGGGATGTACCTCAGTGGTAGAATACTCCTGGGTTTAACCCCTAGTACAAAAAAAAAAAAAAGGTAACGTGCATAGTAGAAATAAATTAGAGGACCCCCACCCCCCGCCAAAAAATCACCCAGTAACCCAATGTTCAGAAATAGTCACTGTTAACATTGGGAAGTGGGTAATGTCCTTACATATTTCTTTATATCTCTTTCTGTATGCATACCTACACCTAGAATCAGACATCAAACCTTGAGTATGAACTATCAAAAGTACAAGCGCCTGCATGGTTGTTACCAATGTTTTTAAATTCTTCTTACCCCAACTAGGAACAAGAGTGACTTACACTGTGCTTTCCGGCAACATAACTCTGGCTGAGTCTGCCACCCAGACGGGCTCACTACCCTATAATCTGACCCTGGACAAGGATGCTCAGGAACTGATGGGCCCCGGGGTCCACCACCTGCAGATCCAAGCCAGCAGCAACAGCACCGCCTCGGCACTCTCTGGGAACATCACTGTCTACTTTGTGGAGCTGCTGTCAGGACTGCAGGCCTCCTGGGCTTCAGACCTTGTAGAACTGGGACAGGACCTACTGATCAATGTCTCAGTGGCTCACGGCACCCCTGAGGAGCTGACTTTTGAGGTGGTGGGACTCAATGGAAGCTTCTCCCAAACGGAAGAGGATTTGGGGGAGCCATCTGGGATTTACCACGTGGCAGTTCCTGTTGAAGGTATTTGGTGGCAACCCATCCAACTTCCCTTCTCTTCCCTTTCTGACTTGGAGCCCAGGGTTCTGCCAGTCAGGTTTCAGTGTGTCCTAGATACAAGCATGATTCATGGATGGTCCTGCCTGGGTCACCCAGTGAGGATGAGACACGTTATGTGCCCTTCAACAGTTTATAGCTGCGGGGTTTCTCAACTTTGGCACTCCTGACATTTGGCACTGGGCAACTCCTTGTCACAGTCAGGGGTAGTCCCGTGCACTGTAGGATATCTAGCAGCATCCTTGGCTTCTACCTCTAGATGCAAGTAACAGCAGTCCTCCAAGATATGACAGCCCAAAATGTTCCTAGACATTGACAGATGTTCCCTGAAAGACAAAATTACCCTCTTTTAGGACCACTGGAAAAGAGTAGTATATATTCAGATTTCTTCCAACAACTGTCTGGGACAGTAGGAGCTGCAATCTATGCCCTGGGGAGAGAGGGGTTAGAACTGGAAGGCAGTAAGCATAAGATGACGAATGAGGTAGACTGGCTGGCACCAAATGAGGAAGAGGTCACAGCACACATTTGCATTGACTCAGGAAGGAGCTGCTGGACTGGAGGGAAGTGTGACTAAGGTGGTATCAGCAGGCAGGAAGGCAGTGGGGTCTCCAGCCCACCAGGACTCTGCCGGCAGCTTTTGGGGACCTCAGAGGTGTGTGAGAGAGCAGGCCACAGGGGCAGGTGCTGGCAAAAGAGACAGCAGCAGGAACGACAGGTTCAATAAGAAACCACTAGGTGTTGGCCAGGCACCCAGTGTCCAGTGCAGGACAGGAAGAACCCAGAGTTCACTGGAACTGGAAAAGACACACACCGTAGAGGCCACGATCCACACTCCCACTGGGTTTTATCCCCTCTGCTCCCTTAAAGCTGCTCAGTGGGGGAGGTTTATCCCTCACTGATTGACATCATCTCCGGGTGACCCTGCCACTTGTTTGCTCACTCTCAGATGATTAACAGACTCTTTCCCTGCCAAGGCCAACAGATTTGGACCACTCCAGGGGAAGAGGGGCTGAGGGAGGGTGGGGAAGGGGATCAGGCAGGAACCCTTGCTCTTCTGTTCCCAGGGCCCTGAAGACGTTTGAAACTGCCTTTGGTGAGAGCTTCTGTGGGCTCCTGGGGCCCCCTGCTGGGCCCCACAGATTACAGCTCCCAGGACAGAGTGAGCCTCCCTTTCAGCTGGCCACATCTGCCCAGAGGCTGCCTCTCTCCCCACTCCCTGCTAGTCTCCTCATTCTCTCCACCGTCCGCAACACCACCCTCCCCCACGGCCCACACCTGCCCACAGAGAGTTCTTACCCACTATTACCCCCTGCCAGCCGACTGTGGGTATTCCCAGACCCAATGCAGCCCTCCCTTCCCTCTTCCCTCTCTCTCCACGGCCACCCCTCCAGCAGGTTCAGGGGCAGGAGTAAGAAACCCGCCCTTGGGTTCCCAACCTCAGAGAACACACACCACATGTTTCAAGGGGTCTTCCTGAAGACCCCTCTCTGCTGGGGAACCCCCCCCTCGGCCCTTCCCCATAGTGGGAGGAGATGGGTTTCCAGGTATTAGCAGTCCTCTCCAAATAAATCTTCCGCACCTCTCTTCCCTTTCCCCTCTCTTGACTCTCTTTACAATTCTGTCCTTTAAGTCCTAGGCCTGAGGGCTGACTTGAGGGGTCCCACAAATCAGGTCAGCCACTCCCTGCAAGAACCAGAGAAGGGAACAGGTGAACAGGAGGAGAGAACTTTAATCAGTGTAGCCACCCTAGGAAGGGGAACCCGCGTCCTTAGCCCTGCCTTCCAGGGCCCAACAGGAAGGGCATGGGGGCCAGGGCTGGGGATTGCCCCTCGAGGCTCTCCGCAGCTGCCAGCCAGGTGGCCTTGCTCAGGTGTGGTCTGACCCCACCACCTAAGGATCAGTCAGGTGGGGTCTCTGATAAGATGGTGGCTGTGGCCTGCGGGGTAGCTTGGACTCATCATAACATGTTTATGAGGTCATTCCCTGTTCCTGGGATCCAAGCTGACTGGGAACCAAGAGGATGGACGTGAGATAGAGGCAGAGATGCCAAGTCTTTAATCCTGCTTTCAGCCATGATCTAAACGTTTGCAGGCAAAAGTGAGAAGTCTAAGTCCTTGTTACGTTGTCATGTCCTTCCCTGGGTGGGAAGGAAGTTAAGCTCCAGCCCTGGCTCCATCCCATGAACCGTTTCTTTCTCTCCCATGCCCACAATGCCCCTGTACCAATTCCCGCCATGGTTTGGCACTCCTGCCTATGGATCTACCAGACCATAGGCCCTTGAGGACAGGGACCATACTCCTTCATCTCTTGGGTCCACAGAGCCTTGCCCTGTGCCCAGCACATAGCAGGTGCTTATTAAATGCTCAGAGGTGAAAGATTCAGGCGCCACCATTCCTTCTGAATGGACTGAAAAGCACGGGCAGGGAGAGTCGTCTCAGCACAAGTTGGACAGTACACGGCAATGCCCCTAACACTGTGCCCTTTGCCCTTTGCCTTGCAGGCACCTTTCTGGTCACCGTGCAGCTGAGGAATGCCTTCTCAAACTTGAGCTTGGAGATAGGAAGCGTCACCATCACAGGCAAGGTGTTTCCTCAAGGGTGTACAAAACTTATTGCTTGGGATCTAGTGAGGGGCCCTTCAAACAGGGCTCTGAATGCATGTCTTGTACTGCAGACATTCAAAATTCTCTAAGAGGTAATGATCAAAAAATCAGAAAGAACTTGTGTCTGTGCCGAACATGTACAGATGTTTTTCTTGTCATTATTCCCTAAACAATAAAGTATAACAACTATTAATTAACATAGCATTCATATTATTTTAGGTATTACAAGTAATCTAGAGATGATTTGAAGGATATGAGATGGGCCAGAGGTGTAGCTCAGTGGTAGAGCACTTACTTAGAATGTGCAAGGCCCTGGGTTTGCTCTCCAGCACTGAGAAACAGAAAGTATAGGAGATGATATGTGTATGTTATATGCAAAAATACAACACCATTTTATATGTGAGCATTCTTGGATTGTGGTATCTGAAGGGATCCTAGAAACAATCCCCTGGGGATATTGATGGACAGTTGTACAGTAAAACATTGAACCACTGGCATGGAATTCTGAATCGGTATTGGTTATGGTGTTCTGGGCTGGAAGCAACAGAAAGTCCAACTCAAGTCACTTAACATTCGGAGCTTTCTTGTCTCGTATAAGAGATTAGAAAGGAAGAGGTTTGATTCAATGGCCAGTGATGCTAGCAAGGACCCAGGTTCAGTCTATCTTTCTGCTCTGCCTTCCTCAGGCTTTGACTCTGTTCTTATTCTTGTCTCTGATGGAATCAAGGAGGCTGCTGCTGTTCCAGACATTGTATGTCAATTCAGCATCACCCAGAAGCAGCAGAAGGATGTTGCTTTCTGTGTCCTTTCTCTCTAGCACCCAGTCATCTTCCCTCAGACACTGCTGATCAGGGTAGAATGATGTGCTCAGCTGTAAAGGAGGCTGGAAAAGCAGGGATGCAGAACTTCGAGGTGCTTACAGGGGAAGGTGAAATCTGGCTGCCAAGACGAAGGGTGGGGTAAAAGCTGTTGACTGGCCAGTCAGTAGTAACCATCACGGAGCTTAAAGTTCATCTCAAATGCTTTTGCCAAGGACTCCAAGTGGCAAGGGACAGGAAAGAAGTTAAAACTGGACCAAGCTGAAAGGAAATTTTATCAGTTCATAAAATGAAGAGTCCAGGGGATAGACATCATTTACACAATGTCCTGGGAAACCTGTCCTCTCCACCTCTTGGTTCTCTGTTGGCGTCATCTGATTCTCTCTTCTCCAGCCCGCAAGATGGGCCCAGGCTTTGATCCCAGTCCCCAGAGGAGAAAGAACATTCCTTGTTGAGATTTACAGTGGAAGTCCCAGCCTGTCTCTTGCTGGACCAAGCTCAGTTCAGGTTCCTTCCTGGACCTGGCTGAGACCACAGGGAACTGATTGGTACTTGGTATGGGCATATCATGAGCATAGGCACAAAGAATAGGGAAGGGATGTGCTCTTTCCTAAAGAAGGGGGCGTGGTTGCCTGTACAGGAGGAAAACACCCTGTACTGTCCACAGCCCTCATTTCCTATGCATGACATCTGAGGCCCAGAGAGGCTAATTGGCTTTGCAGAAGTCACTCAACTAATTCATGGCAGGAGCAGAAGCAGCAACTCTTTCTCTTGATCTCTTCATCCAGGGTTGTTAGACCATCTTCCTTCTTAAGGGTAACGGAGGTCTCTTTGGCATCTTAGCTTTGCTTCATGTAATTTTATAGACCTTCAAAGTTATAGCTGTGTGAATGAGAATTTACTGGAAGAGAATTTTTAAACAGCCAGAGTATCCAGTTCTTAAAATACCCAAGTCACTAGAATCAAGCGATCCGTATAGAATAACCCTGTGTTCCTATCAATCACCACACTCAGTTACACATTAATCCCATTCACATTTCAATGCCTTCAGAGCATATCAGATGAACATCCATTTTCCATTTTTTTTTAACATGGCACAGTAGCATTCTTTATAGAGACTTAGGAAGCGTAATGTAAACAGCATGGTATTGAGTGCTCCTGAAATCTTGTTTATAGATGAGAAAACTAAGACTCAGGAATAATAACTAAGCTGCCCAGGTCCTCATAGCTATAAGAAGCCCATAGGGAGAGATGAAAACACACCACGGGGTGCTGTGGCCACCCCCACTAGCTTGTCAGATCTGATTGCACCCCTTTCCTCTTGCTCTACATTCAGTAATGTTGGGTTGGTAGCTTGAGATCTACTCTGGTGGGAATATTTATGCTATGGAAATTAGCATGTGCTATAGACCAGGGCTCCTCATCCTGACCCAGCATCCTCAGCATGATTCTCTGACTGCTGTTTTTGCCGTAGGGGTTGGGGGTAGGGAAGTCTTGCTGTGTTGCCCAGGTTGGTTGGTCTTGAACTCCTAGGCTCTTGTGATCCTGTTTTGGACTCCCAAGAAGCTGGGACCACAGGCATGTGCTACCATGCCTGACTGATTCTGCCTTTTGAATCTTATATGAGGTTTTCTATGAAAGCTTAATGCTCATTCCCATTGTGTTTACAGCCCCATCCAATCTTCAAGAACGAACTGGAATGAATGTTAAAGGAAAGAATGTGAGTATCTTTTATAAACACTTAACTTCACAAGAAAAAGATATTCAAGGGCTGGGGATGTGGCTCGAGCGGTAGCGCGCTCGCCTGGCATGCGTGCGACCCGGGTTCGATCCTCAGCACCACATACCAACAAAGATGTTGTGTCCGCCGAGAACTWAAAAATAAAATATCAAAAATTCTCTCTCTCTCTCTCTCTCTCTCTCTCTCTCTCTCTCTCTCTCTCTCCTCTCACTCTCTCTTTAAAAAAAAAAAGATATTCAAGCACTCTGTTAGTTTTGATTTTGGGTTTGTTGGTACCAATAGCCAAAGCATGGGAATCCCAAAGTCCTCTTCCATCTGAAAGAAGCCCCGAAAGGATTGAAGTCAAACAAACCATGTTTTCTAACCACAACAGAACTCTGTTGTGAATCAATAATAAGCTAACTAGGATATGTAGATATCTCTCTTAGACATCTTAGAAATTAAATACAACTCTTCTATAAAAATTACTGGACCAAAGATATAACAACAAAGGAAATCAGAAAATATCTCTAACTAAATGATAATGACAATAAAACCTAATCAAATTTGTGCGGAACAGCTAAAGCAGTACTTAGAGGAAAATGTATAGCTTTAGTGTTTATGTTAGAAAACAAGTCCACATTCTTTAGTTGTTATGACAAGTTTGAGTGTTCAACTCCTTGCTATTAATATTGTTCATGTGTGCATAATTCAATAACAAAGACCTATCGTGTACCTATAATGTTCAAGGTTTGTGTTAGTGTCTGGGAAGGTAACGGTGAATAAACAGAGGTGGTCCCTGCCTTCATGAAGCTCACTGAGTGAGACAAACAAAATAGAAGAATTAAGAAATTAAGAATTGGGTTAAGTGTCTACAAATAACCAGCAGGGTGCAGAGATACAAATATCAGAGTAGTCTAGCAAATGTGGTCAGATGAGCCTCCCAAGAGGAGATGTGAAAATATGAAGCATGCTGGGAAACAGAGTAAGAGCTTGCTGAGTGGGTGGGATGAGAAGGCCCTGAAGCTGGAAATGGCCTGAAGCCAGTGTGGCTAGAGCCTGGTGTGGGAGAAGGACTAGGATTACAGAGGTGGACAGAGGCCAGAAGGCATGGAGCCTTAGGTGCTAAGGTAAGAAATTTGGATTTTATTCTCAGGCCGTGGGAAGCCACTAAAGATTGAGTTCTACTGTAATCTCATACTATTCCAGGCTAAGATCTCTAGGCTTGAACAAGAGGCCCTACCACCTGAGCTATTCAACAGGTCCAATCAGAATTTACTCCCAGAACATTCCGAGTACCTGCCAAGCCCTTTTCCTAGAACCCACATTCTCCCCATTATTGCCCAGCCCACCCTCTCTGCCCCTCTTGTGGTTGTTCTGGGAGCCTGTCCTCCAGGGAAATGTTCCCTGGCTCCAATGACCAGTTTATAGAGGTCACAACTGGCTCTTTTTAGATTGAATCACAGCAGCCCTGCAGGTCAGATGCTATCAAACCCTCAGAGCAACAGATGCTCAGAGACTTAGAAACTGGCTGAAGGTCATGGGCTAATGAGGCAATCTGAGCTTTGGCCAGCCCCAAGGACTACATTCTTAATTTATTGCCTCTTTCCTCCACCTCTCATGATTCCCTAGACTCCCTTCCTCAAAGTTTTGTCCATTTGTATGCCTGTTTTTTTTTTCTTTTCTTTTTTAACCTAACTTCAAGGCAAGGGCTGGATCTTTTACTTGTATCTCCAGGAAGGGCCTGGCCCAGAGAGGCCTGTGTCAGTATAGCTGAATGCATGGTAGACCCTGAGCTCACACTCAAAGTCACTCACCCAGTGATCCTGAGTGGATAGGTTAGGGTCTTTCTCCATTCCAAGGTTTCTACTTTGGTCACTCTTGGAACAGATTGCTCAGAGGTGGGTGTGGGTTGGCAGCACACCCTACAGCCTGTGAATGGGGAGTCTCACCATGGCTGCTTCTTCTGCAGAGAGACAAAGGGGCTATGGAGGTGCATGTTGAGCCTGGTGTGTATGCAGACCCTTTCACAATGGTCACTCTGAGCTGGCCAGATGATGACAAGGATCTACGTTTCCATTGGTCATGTGGTAGGTAGTCCTTGGGTGGTCCTTTCTTAATAAGTCATGACCTGAGGTCAGAGTTTGATGTTTTCTTGCTTTTCACACCAACAGTACTACTTAAGCCTGACATTTTATGTAATGTGTACATGCAAGAGACTGCAAATTCCATGGAAATGGGAGATGGGGAAATCATGGCAAACCAAGGTTGGGTGGAGGGTGATCCTGAATGCAGGCCACAAGGGGATGTAGAAAATTAAAACAATAATAAACTCATAAAAGCCTGTGTGCATTTTTATTACCAGCATGCACAGGCAATTCTAACAATGTCAGTGATGCAATACTCTCACCCCACCAGATGTGTCACTGCAGAGAGTGTAGAAAGGGTGTGAGTTGGCATTTGTTGACAAACCAAGATGGTAGCACCACTTTTCAGAATCAGTGACCTCCTTTTTATAGGGACATACCCTAGCTACATGTGCACTCTTTTAGAAATAAGATGCATGTCATTCATAGCATGCACATTGCTTTTGCAACCCTTGTTTTCTTCCTTGAACAACATATTCTTCATATTTTAATGTTATGGAGTCTTCTTGTCCATCATGATTTTCGTAATGGCTATACAATGCACCAAAAAGTTGATGTGCGATCAATTATCCAAAAAGATGGCACATGGACCAGTGCCATCTTTTTAGATAATTAGGTTGCCACCAATTGTTTGCTGTATAAACAATACTGTAATGAACACCCTCATAGTTTGATTTTTGTTTACCTCTGTGGTTGTTTTTATAACTAAATGACCCTATTATTCTAAAAATGGAAGAATAGGGTCAAAAATCATGCACAAGGGGCTGGGGATGTGGCTCAAGCGGTAGCGCGCTCGCCTGGCATGCGTGCGGCCCGGGTTCGATCCTCAGCACCACATACCAACAAAGATGTTGTGTCCGCCGAGAACTAAAAAATAAATAAAAAATTCTCTCTCTCTCTCTCTCTCTCTCTCTCTCTCTCTCTCTCTCTCTCCTCTCTCACTCTCTCTTTAAAAAAAAAATCATGCACAAGTTCAAGGTTTTTGATATTGCCACATGGTCGTGACTTTCTATTACTTCTCATTACTTGAATACAGAGGACACAGTGTGGGGTTTAAGTAACTGAGCAGAGCCTGCCTCTTGATGAACACATTGGAGGGGGTAGCAAGGGGTCCTCAAACTAGAAGGTAGCCACATGTGTCAGTGTTCCTGACAGACGACAGTGTTTGCTTACCTCTCTCAGGGCGATGCTGGGCTCAGTGGAGCAATTGTGTTGAGAAGCAGCTGCTCCACCTGGACCAGAGGGAGTTGGTGGTCCCACCATCCTGCCTGCCACCACCAGACTCTGCTGTCACCCTGCACCTGGATGTCCTGAGGGGCCAGGAGCTGGAGAACAAGGCAGAGCAGTGTCTCTATGTCTCTGCTCCCCTGAACCTCAAACCTCAAATCAGGTGGGCAAGTTCCTCCAGAGTTGTCATTCATTCATCAGTCAATACTTACCGAGAGCCAACCCTGGGCTGGCCCTGACTTAGGGGCGGGGCTGGCAAGGGTGGGCAGACTGTCCTGGCTGTTCTCATAAGGGTTTCAGCAACAATTGGAGCAAAGGAATGAAGGGAGCGACTACACATCCATGACAGCTTCCCCAGCTGGGGGTCAGAGAGGGCTTCCTGCAGGAGCTGGGGATTAGCAGAGGTGTGCCTGGGGAAGAGGAAGTGACTTGGCCAGAGAGTGGGGGCTGGAGAGGAAACAGAGAGGGGAAAGGGAGAGAACAGAGAGCAACCAGGAAGTGAAAGTGGAGAGTATCCTTGAGATTGGAGGAGAGAGGGGCAAGAGGAGCTGAAAGAGCATGCAAGGCCTTGCAGGTCATGCCACGTTTGGGTCTCTTTCCTAAGAGTTCAGCAGAGAATGCCAGCCAAGAGTCCTGAGCAGTTAGAGACATGGTCACATCTTGCTTCAAAACACTCTGCTAGCAGAGTGGAGAATGGGTGCAGGAGGGTGGGAACCCTCAGGGAGGTTGCTCCTGCTGTTGCTGGAGTCAAGGTAAGAGCTCAGGGTAGCATGGCCTAGCAGCCTGGTCCCTGTAGCAACCAAATAGCTTATTCTAACCATGACTAACCACTGATGGATGAAGACTCTGTCTACCGGTTTGGACAGGGCTAAAGGAGCAACCTAAGGTTACAATGCAGCACAGGAATCCATCACTCCAAAACTGCTAAGATGGGGTCGGGTGGGGATTCCTGGGAGCTGTGGCAGTAGAAGGGCCTCCCAGCAGGAGCCCTGGGCTTTGCTAGCAAGACACAGCTGCCACCAACTGCAGCCTGCAAGGAAGGAGCAGGGAAAACACTGAATGCAAACCTCACCTTCTCTCCTCACATCACCAGTCCTCTACCAGGGCTCCCATTGGTGGGACCCAAGCAGAAGCCTGAGGGTGCAGGAGCTGGGGCATCACAGCCTGTTGAGGCCAGTCAATGGGTCACAGCCAGAGAGAGCTGGAGGACAGTCTGGAGGGGCCAAAGGAGACCATCTTGTACTAAAATATACATCAAGAGAGAAGGAAGAGTCAAGAACTTTTGAGGTTTTAAAATTTGGAAGACCCAGGGGATGGACTGGATAGAGTAGATGCCAAAGTGACCTCTCAGGGGCTCCAGGGAGGGAGTAGGGCATTACAGAGAAGACCCAGGGTTCAGGTAAGACATGGGGGTTTGTTCCATCACCTACTTAGGAGGTGTATCACCTTGGGAAAATGACATCAGTTCTCTGAGCCTGTGTGTGCTCTGGGGATACTGAAGTGTCACCCACAGGGCTGCTATAAGAATCTAATGCACTAACATCCAGGAACATGATTTATGCATGCACATGTGCTATGAAACCATAGCATTATTTCCTATTATTAGAACTCAGAGAATTGCAATAATGCATACCTGTAAACCCAGCTACTTGGGAGTCTGAGGCAGGAAGACAGCAAGTTCAAGGTCAATCTGGACAACCTAGTGAGACCCTATCTTGAAATAAAAATAAAAAACAGCTGGAGGTACAGCTCAGAGATTCAGCACCCTTGAGTTCGATCCCAGTACTACATACATAGTAAATAAATTTTAAAAAGGAGAATCACAGAAATTGATGGGTCTTATCCCCTTACTTGGCAGATGAGGCTGAGAGAGTTTCGTGACTTGCGTGAGGTGGCCATTCCTAGGTGGCAAGGACAGGACTTGAACCCGGGGTTCTGTTCAGCTGCCTGTACTTTCCACGACTTTACTCTGTGCAGTGAACAAAATGAAAGTTCAGTGAGGCCGTGAGCCCTCCAGGTGAGAACAAGGCTGTCCTTGGTAGAGGTGGGCAGCCATGGCTTTTATTCCACATCTCATCTGGAAAAAGGCCACTGCCCACCTTCTCAAAGGACTTGGCAAGATCCCACGGCCGCCACACCCAGGGAGCTTCCTCGCCCTCTTTCTCCCTTTCAGCTGTGAGAAGAACTGTCGCCTGGTGACTGCTGGCGAAGACCTTGAGCTCAGGGTCACCTTGGGAGGCGATGCCTCAGTGGCCACGTTCAGCTGGTACTTAGATGACCCTGCCCCAGATAAGGTGAGGATGCTGACAACCACTCACAGGAAACCATCTTCCTTTTTTTACCAGACCTGTGTTGAATGTCCAGTACTGAGAAGTGGGTCAGCTCCATACGGAGCCAGTGCAGCGGTCAGGAGGGCTGGAGGACATGCCACTGAGGCACAGGAGGGACTGATCAGCAGGCCGAATAGGTGCAAAGGAACAAAGACTGTGGGAGATGTTGACATTTATTCATATATTTGTTGATTAACTATATATCATCTTCTGAGAAGTGTCTGTTCTGTTCCTTGGCCCATTTATTGATTTGGTTATTTGTTTTGGGTTTTTTTTTTTTTTTGGTGTTAAGATTTTTGAGTTTTTTTTTTTTTTATCCTAGAGATTAGTGCTCTATCTGATGTGTGTGTGGTAAAAATTTGCTCCCATTCTGTAGGCTCTCTATTCACCTCAATGATTGTTTCTTTTGCTGAGAAGAAGCCTTTTAGTTGGAATCTATCCCATTTATTGATTCTTGATTTTAACTCTTGTGCTATAAGGAGTCTTATTAAGGAAGTCGGGGCATATTCTGACATGATGGAGATTTGGGCCTACTTTTTCTTCTATTAGGTGTAGGGTCTCTGGCTTAATTCCTTAATTCCTAGGTTCTTGATTCACTTTGAGTTGAGTTTTGTGCATGGTAAGAAATAGGGGCTTAATTTCATTTGTTGCATATGGATTTCCAAAACCACTCTAAGATTTCATCTCACTCCAGTCAGAATGGCAGCTCTTATGAATACAAACAACAATAAGAGTTGGAGAGAATGTGGGGGAAAAGGCACATTCATACATTGCTGGTGGGACTGCAAATTGGTGCAGCCAATCTGGAAAGCAGTATGGAGATTCTTGAAAAACTGGGAATGGAACCACCATTTGACCCAGCTATCCTACTCCTCAGTTTATACCCAGAGGTCTTAAAAGCAGCATATTACAGTGATGCAGCCATATCAATGTTTATAGCAGCACAATTCACAATAGCTAAATTGTAGAACCAACCTATATACCCTTCAGTAGATGAAAGGATAAAGAAAATGTGATATATATACACAGTGGAATATTACTCTGTATTAAAAGAGAATAAAATCATGGCATTTGCATGTAGATGGATGGAGTTGGAGAATATAATGCTAACTGAAGTTAGCCAGTCCCAAAAAACCAAATGCCAAATGTTTTCTCTGATATATAGATGCTGATTCATAATGGGGATTGGGGGCAGCATGGGAGGAACAGATGAACTTTAAATAGGGCAAAGGGGAGGGAGGGAAAGGAGGGGGCATGGGGGTAGGAAAGATGGTGCAATGAGACAGACATCATTACCCTAAGTACATGTATGAAAACACAAATGGTGTGACTCTACTTTGTGTATAACCCGAGACTTGAGAAATGGTACTCTATCTGTGTAATATGAATTGAATTGCATTCTGCTGTCATATATAACAAATTAGAATGGGAAAAAAAAGACTCTAGGAGGCACTTTGGCTGATATAGTGGTGCCCAGCCAAGGTCCCCTTCCAGGCTGGTGCACCTATCCCCCAACTGCTGGGCGGTGGCTGTGGCCAAGAGCTTGCACATGTGGGGAGTCTGACAGCCCAGCCCCCTTGCCCGAAGCAGGCAGTTTCTACAGTCCCTTCTGCTCCAGAACTCCCCATGGGGCCAGGCCGAGGCTGGACAGCCCCTCAAACCTCTTCTTTTCCTCATTTCTTTCTCTGCCCTGGTCTGCTTCCCTGCCTCCCCTGCTGGTTTTCCCAGAGAGTCTCCCTCACTACACAAGCCCCCCCATCCAGGCTCCGCTTCCAGGGGACTTAAGACAAGCAGCCTAACAAGGCCTAAGACAGGCTATGCAGCCTCCAGAAAGCCAGCAGTGCCTGCCCTCCGCTCATCAGACAGAAACCTGAAAGCCCCCCTCTGGGTCAGATGCCACTCTCCTGGGGAGGCCCAGTGGCCTCCCAGAGACCCTGGGCATGGCTCTTTTTCAGGAGGAGCCCCTCCCAGCTGCCTGCAGACTCAGAGGATTCTGGCGGCGTTCTCTAGTCCTGCTCCAGAGCAACACCTCCACCCTGTCGCTCAACAGCAGCTCCCTGCGGACCTGGGGCGAGGTCATCAGGATCCGAGCCACAGGTGTGAACTACCCTTCCACTTGCTGTTAGGGACCCAAGACAAACCAGAAACCATAATATGGGGCTGCATTCAGTGTAGCCGGGGGCTCTAGAGTGAATTCCACCACTGTGGGATTCTGTCTTTCTACCCGGGAGACTGGGCAAAGGATTTATCCTCTCCATGTCCCAGTCTTCTCCCAAGTAAGCTGGGGATGGTAAAAGAGCCTGCCTCGGGATTGATATTATGCAGGGGGCATGGGAGGACCCCAGTGGGATGAGCAGGTTGTTCTGGGGTCGTGCAACCTGAGTGTCCTGTCAGGAGAGTTCAGAGATGCTCATTTAGATCAAGCCCTGGGTGGGAAATGTAGTCTCAAAAACAAAACAATACAAAAAAATCTGTTGATTATTCTTTTCAGGAAGAATGTCTCTGATTGTGTATTTTCTCAAGTGGCTCATAGATCACCCACTCTGGGAGAAACTGGTGTACCCATTAAATGGACACTCCGGAGTCCAACCCAGGCCATCCAAATTGAATTTAGACCGTGGAATTAATTGTAATGGATTAAAATTCTCCTTTTCCCACTTCTTGCAGGCAGATACTCCTTTTGAAAACTGGTCTTTTGAAAACAGGTCAACTGAGGGCTCTTCCCAGTGCTGAGAGGCCTCAAAAAGAGTCAGGCTTCTGGGATTAGCCTGTTCTCGATCCTGGCTCTGACCCTTGCTGTCGCAGAGAGCTTCAGCAAGACATTGTTTCCCAGTAGTCTTCCTCGTTATGCTACCTCTGTGAGGAAATTATCATTGACCCCATTTTACAGATGACAAACTTGCCTGTAATAAGATCATGTTCAAGTTGAAGATCCCTTGGATGGTAATTGGCAGAACTGGAATTGCAGCTCAGATCTGACTGATTCTCTTCCTCTACCTCTGCCCAGTTACTCCCTGAGATCCCTGGGTCAGGGCAAGTTGTTAGATATGAATATTTTGGGGTTTCCCAAAACCTCCATAAGGGTCTGGGGCTCTGGGCCTGGAGTGGGGGCTCAGGAATCTGTGTGTTTCACAAGCTCCCCTGGGATCTTGAAGCACAATGGGGAGCTTGTGGAACCCAGCTCCCCAAACGCCGTCTGTCTTCACTCCTCAGCACTGACCAGGGACGCCTATGGGGAGGACGCCTACGCGATCAGCACTCTGCCTCTCCCCGAGGTGCCCACCTGTGAGATTGCCCCAGAGGAGGGCACTGTGCTGACACGCTTCTCCATTCTCTGTGATGCCTCCATGTCCCTTGGCCCCCTGGAGTACTGCTTCTGTCTGGAATCAGGTACCAGCCATGGACTCTGCTCTGCCCTCAGTTCCTATTCTCACCAAGAACTCTCTCTGGGAGCTGCAAAGAATGTATTCTATGGGTTGAAGAGGTCAACAGGGTGAGGGATCCCCTAAACCTTGACCTCTACCCGCAAGGTATGGATCCAACCATGACCCCACAGAGACATGAGAAGCAGGTTCCAACAGCAGCTCCCCTACTCTCATGGAGACCCCAAAACCTCTGCCCTAGAAAGGTGATATTGAAAGGGTGAAATGAACAGGGATACCAGAAGATGACCAGGTGGGGCCATAGGAGGACACCATGCCCAGACACTAGGGTAGCTGTGACTCTGAAAGCCTGGAGTTTCTCAAGAAGACAGATGGTCTGGTTCACAGAGTCTTCACAATTTCATTGACCCTGCTTTGCAGATGATAGCAGGGAAATGGGTGATGTCACAGGACAGGCTCAGCTGATAGGAGAACATTTTTGAAAGGTTTACAGGTGACAAACATTGAAGACCCCATCCACATTACATAAAACCCTGCAGTCACCCATTGCCATAACAACTCACATCCAGGATCACAGTGGGCATGAGCAGGGGGTTGGACAGCCCACTCTCCATTTATTCTCCCATTTGAGGGATGGCTGGTCCTGGGAGGGTTCATCTGATCCCTTATTTCCTCCTGGCAGGCCTGGGAATTTTGTGACCCTCTAATGAGCTCTAAAAGTATTCTAGTTGAATCGGATCTTTCCTCCAAACCTAGGCACCGTGAGTTTTTCTCGAACTCTCTCCAATATCCAGCTACAGACACCACTGTGACATAAATGCCATATGTTGACTAGGGAGAGGTGGATATAAGCTCTTTTGAGGTCAAGGGGAGTGGTTTTTAAGGGGCGCCCTGCCAAAGAGATGTGGAAATGCACAGCTATTAAGAGGGCTGTGACTGGGTCTGAGCCTGCAAGGAAATATTCCAAGCAAAGTGGGATTTCATTTACAACTGGCATCCCCCAAAGGGAGAGGCCAGGACAGCTGCTCTAATTCCAGTTGGTTATTCCCTTAGTACCCTACCCCCACACAGGTGAGCAAGAGGGCAGACGGGTGTGACCACATAAAACGAGGGATTTATCACACATCAATAACTTCATGATTGTCTGCACACTATACAGCAGCTGGTGGTTGGTGGGACCCAGGGAAGGTACAAAGGATTTTTATTCGCTTACTCTTTTTTTTTTTTTTTTGCAATAAATATATATTGAACATGAGGCTCTGTTTTAGGTCCTGGATATTCAGCAGTGAACAAATGGAGGACGCCCTTGACCTCATGATCTCTATTATCTAGAAGTGAGGGAAGCTGGTAAACAAAGACAAGTGTGGCAGGGGCACCGTTTGACACAGCTGCTGGGGAGGGGCTTTGTAAAGGAAGGGACATTTGAGGGAGTTTGGGTATGTTTAGAGCTAAGTTCTCTTTTCTTCTCTCTTTCCACCCCCGCACCCCCACAGCCCCTTCCTTCTTTTTCTATTTGGTATAATTTGGTTTAACGCTTTTAATTTATTTTAAAAGGCTATAAACAGGGGATTTTTTCTGTTTTTTTATGGATTTTAGAAAAACAATTCCAACATTGCAGCAGCCTTCAGTTACTTAGGACAATGTATCTGTATATTTGGCTATTTTCTCCCTGAAAATGTGGGACCCCAGAGTGCTGCCTCACTTTTCCTGAGGCTTGGAGATGCCCCCCTTTTCCCATTTTCCCAGGTTTCTGCCTACATTGTGGCCCTGAAGAAGCCCTCCCATCTGTGTATCTACCACTTGGAAAAGAAAACAATGACTTTCTGCTGACAGTGGTCATTTCTGTCACAAACCAGGCGGGGGACAGACAGCAGACCCATGCAACTGTTAAGGTGGGTGGTGGGATTAAACTAAGACTAAGAAACTCCTCTTCCCATCTAGACCTCACCCCAGGGATGGATGAGGGGCTTGGCCAGAGGAATCACTGATTCACTCATTCCTTCAACAAATATTCACAGAGCATCCTCTATGTGCCCTGCCCCAAGGATATAGCCACAGGCACATGGACATAGCCCCTGCCCTAGCAGATCTTTTCACTTAGTGGTGGCCAGAATAGGGGTAGAGTCTTGGGAGCAGGGGAGGGTTGGGTAGAAGGACCCAGGCATGAGTTAGGCCAGCACCTTCAGAGAGTTCAGAGGAAGGAGAACCAAGATAGTCAGCAAGAATGCAGGGCAGAAATTGTATAAAGTCCTGAGAAAGGTTCAAGGGTCAGAAGCCAGGAGGAGATGGAAGGTCCTGAGAGCCAGTTGAAGAGGATAGCTAGAGAAGAGGCAGTGGCTTGCCCAGAGCTGGTCTTGGTGGCCATCAGCTGCCTGATGCAAGCAGGACTGGCTGTGCTCCAGCCTGAGGAAGTGCCCAAGAGCCCCATGCCAAGCTGCCATGGTTCCTCACACAAAGACCCATGACTTCAGGCACCAGGTTCTCAAACAAGGACCACTGACCTGAGCCTGTTCCTGGTCTCCTGGTCAGGTGGGTCTCAGTGACACACGTGTTGGAGATGTGGCACTCCAGACAATCACCACCTCTCTGCAAGGCGAGCATGGCCCTGAGCAGCTTCTCCAGCTGGCCAAGTCTGTGTCCTCCATACTGGACCAGGAGGACCAGGGCAAGGGCTCCAAGCAGCCGCTGAGAATGGACGTCAGAAGGAAGGTACTTGGGGCTGGGGACCCCAGGATCTGCATGCAGCCACTCGGGGCAAGGGTGGGGTTCATGGATCGGTGGAGAGACCTTTAGTGTCTCCCAGTGGTTGATATCACCTCCCACTCTGGTTGTTCTGATGACACAAAAAGGCAATGCCTCTTTTATTGATAACCTTTCTCTGCTCACTGCCACAGAGTCACAGGCTTCAGGGATGGGGAGGGGATTTAGAGTGCATCACTTCAGGCCCTACATATTAAAGATGATAAAAGCAAGGCCCAGAGGAGAAAAGTGACTTGGTCTAGGTTAAGCATACCTCACAGGGCTGCCCCTTGTGGAGGCTCTGGGGAGAATCCATTTCCTGGCCTTTCCAGCTTCTAGAGGCCACCTGTAGTCCATGGCTCACAGCTCCTTGCTGCATCTTCTCTCATCCATCTCCTCTAACTGACCCTGCTGCCTCTCCTCTTATAAAGAGATCCATCTGTTAATCCAGAATAACCTTTCTATCTCAGGAGTCTTAATTTAATCCCATCTGCAAAGTGATTTTGCCAAAGTGCCTCTTACCATGCAAGGTTACATGTTCTCAGGTTTCAAGGATTAAGATAAGGACATCTTTGGGAGGCCATTATCCTGCCTTCCACATATCCTGTGAGGCAAATGCAGGTTTGGGGGGCGTTGGAAGACCCAGATGAACCTGGTCACTTCTCTGACCCTGGATCTTCCTGAAATGCCTTCCTGGAGTTTCTAGAATCACATGACCTCTCTGTGCCTCTCCTCCCTGTGCCAAGGTCAGAGAACATGTGCTGAAGTCGCTGTCCATGGTTGCCACCAACCTGGAGGACATGCAGAGAGTGCAGGGCCTGGCTGAGGTGCTGAGGGAGGTGACCCACAACAGCAAGGAGCTCACATCGTTGGCCCAGGTAAGACGTTTCCATCCACTGAGCTGACTCAGTGCAGGAGTCAAAGGGGTCCCTCAGTCACAGGGCTCTCCCAGTATGCCAAGGCTCCTGCCACCTTCTTCCTAAGGGTCATGCATGGGTGGTACAAAGGAAGGCAACCCTCCAGCACCCCTGTGTCTCACCCTGGGTGTGATGGTCTGTCTACCCATACCCTCAACCTCCACCTACTGGTGAGCATCTTTTTTTTTTTTTTTTTTTTTTAGGATTGGAGTCTTTATTATATGATATTGTCTAGATCTTTTCACATTCTAACTTTTTTCTACTTAAATTTTTATAAACATATATATATTTAAATTTTTTATTCAAATTTGTTATATATGACAGCAGAATGTACTACCATTCATATTACATATATAGAGCACAATTTTTCATATCTCTGCTTGTATACAAAGTATGTTCACACCATTCATGTATTCTTCATACCTGTACTTAGGGTAGTGATGTCCATCTCATTCTACTATCTTTTTTTACCCCCTTGCCCTCTCCCTCTCTCACCCTCCCCTTTGCCCTATCTAGAGTTTGTCTAATCTTCTCATGCTCCCCCTCCCAACCCCACTATGAATCAGCCTCCTTATTTCAGAGAAAACATTTGGCATTTGGTTTTTGGGGACTGGCTAACTTCACTTAGCATTATCTTCTCCACTGGTGAGCATCTTGAGGAGTGGCTGGATCTCATTCATCTTTGGGCACCATGGATATGTTCCAGATACTACTGTGGACCCACCCTGTCCTGCCCTCAGTGCAGTCCAGCCTGACATCCAGATTCCAGCTCCCTGCCTTTCTAGCCCAGGGGCCTGACCCCAGAACCTTTCCAACTTGCCCACATGGCAGGGAATTCATATATTGCTCAGTGACTAACGCATCTAGTGTCCCGTACCCCAGCTTCCCTGCCCTCTTGATGGGTAACTCCCAGTAGAACTGAACCCCAGGCAACAGGCTTGATCACCCTGGCTTCTACTCTTTTTTAATATTTATTTTTTAGTTGTAGTTGGACATAATACCTTTTAAAATTTAATTTATTTATATGTGGTGCTGAGGATCGAAACCAGGGCCTGTATCATTTCCTGTATCATTTCTCCACTCTTCTACCAATGTTTCCTGGGATCACCTCCAAATAAATTGCTTGCTCTCAGATCCTTGACTTGAGATCTGCTTCTTGGAGAACTCAAATCAAAGCACCTGGTTCCCAGGTTATGTCCAAACAGAAAGAGGGAAGAACTCCCCTGGCTCTGCCCCACCCGACCTGGCAGGGGCTGTCTCCTTGAATCCCCCAGCCTGGAGTCAGGGAGGCTGCTCTTAGTTACAGGGGCTCTGGTGCTGTTGATGGGACACTTCCATGCACACATCCATTTGCACTCATCTGTTTGTGTGCATACATATGTGCATGGACCTATCCATCCTTCCTTGTGTGCATTCATTTATTTACCCACTCAACAAATGTTTCCTGTCTGCTGTATGCCAGGTACTGAATTCATGGAGAATTCAGCAACTCACACACATGAACTCTACCTTCTTGGCACTTTCAGACTACAATGGAAGCCAGACATTAAACAAATAATTTCACAAATACATGTATAATTACAATATTGGAAGAAGCACTATGTGCATTCATTCATTCACTCTCCGGGTATTTTCCTACCCACCCACACTTACCCACCCATGGATTCATCCATCTTCTTCCACCCATCCATCTACCCATCCATCCATCTAACCCCCATTCATCCACCTAGTCAGCAAATGTAACTGCATGCCTACTGCACACCCATGCAGGTCACTGTGTGACACCCTCTGGGAAGGCTTCAGAGGCAGACCAGGCTACTTTCTGGAAGAACTCAGAGCCTTGTAAGAAGGGAGGTCCTGGTCTCAAGTTAGAACTATAGGTAGCTTATATAATGGGCCTGACCAGCTTTTTCCTGGCTTATGCCCCTGCCTTGTTCTCCTTCACTGCATCCCTTGTCCCTAGAATGGCACAGGGGATAGTCCCTTGCAGGCACGGCTCATGGTGCTTTTCCTTCTTTGGATGAACCAGTGGGAGGCCAGCTGCGCTCTGCAGCATGCCAGTGAGGCCCTATTGACAATGAGTACTAAGGCCCATCCTGACGACCAGAGGCACCAGGCAGCCACCAGGGACCTGTTTCAAGCTGTGGGCAGCGTACTGGAAGCTTCCTTGAGCAATGGACCAGAAGAGCCCATAGAGACCAACAGTAGCCAGGTGGGTGTCCTAGGCCAGATGCCGACCTTACACCTTCTGCATGACCAGCTCACACTCGCAGTTGTAGGTGGATCTTTCTCCCTACCTTACAGATGAGTAAACTGAGGCACAGAGGTTAAAGTGTTTCTCAAGGAGCTAGAAGAAAGGTTCCAGAGAGCAGCACCTCTGGGAGGCACTGTGGTACAGTAGGTAGAGCATGGACCCCGGAACCAGGCAGCCTGAGTTTGAATCCTGACTGTCACTTATGGGGCTGGTTACACAATTTTGTGAGTCCCAGCACTTCTCCTTAACAACATGTGACCGCCCCAAGTCACCTATACTCTCTGCACCTCCATTTCAAGCCAGGCATTTGGAATCTATATAAGTGCCTACTCTTACCATGGACAGAGCCATCTTTCTCCCTCACTCTCCTGTCCTTCCCTAGTCCCTGCCGGAGCTCCCACACTAGCTTGCTGAGAGTCACCATAGGTGTTACAGGACCACACTCCATAATGATATTCTCTGGCTTCCCTTTTCAGACTGCCACAGTGCCCCAGCTTCTCAGGGTTGCAGAGCATGTTCAGACTGCCCTCCTGCTGGGGACACTGCCCGGGGGCCTTCCAGCCACCCTGACCACCCCTGCCATCTCTGTGTACACAAACAGGTAACCAGCTGCACTGTGCATCCCCCCAAAACTTCATGCTCTGGGGCTGGGGATGTGGCTCAAGTGGTAGCGCGCTCGCCTGGCGTTCGTGCGGCCCGGGTTCGATCCTCAGCACCACATACCAACAAAGATGTTGT